ATTTTGTGAGAAAGTAAATTCTTGTTGATTCCGTAACCCGAATTCGAGCCATAATCAATAGTAGCCCCGCACAACCAGAGATCAAATTAAGCGTAAATAAAACCTTGTCTTTCGAAGGAGTCCGAAAATCCTTGTCTTTCGAAGGAGATCGAAAAAACCTTATCTTTCGAAGGAGATAAACCCTTTCTTTCGAGGGAGACATTATTGTAACCTAAGAAACAAAAAACTTAAAAGTAAATAAAGATTGGGGCTTTCCACCGGTGAAATCTGATGGAAGCCCCTTCAAAATTGACAAAAGAGGCTAAAGTTTAGGAGATAGAAGAGAGAGGAGGCTAGGGTTCAAAAAAAAACATGTATTTATATATGCTCTCTATTTGTTCCCAGGGTTCAATGTAAAAGTCATACATTTATTTTTGTAGTCTGGTATGGCTTATGGAATGATAACCGATAAAGGAGGCTAGAAGAGTAGAAGGGTGCCACATTTTAATCAATTATGATGGCATGGATGGAAAATGGAATGCAACGGTAACAAACAAAGGAGATTAGGAGAAGCAACATGACGTGTAGTTTATATATATATATATAAACATATCTTTTAAGTATGAACGAACTTTACGGAAAAGATTAAGTAATGTAAACAGTCAAATTAATCAAAATAATTTATACACGTACTACTACTACTAACTAATTTAATCCTTCTCTAATCTTGATTTTTTAATTATTTTGATAAAGTAGATTGTTTACCTACTCTAATAAACTCCTAAGATAGCGTGCCAAAAATGACGGAGTACTTTTTAAAATGTTTTGAACTAGTCATACATGACTCTACTAAGGGCATATTTGTCCATTCACTTATAACAACCTTATTCATTAATACCAACAAATGCAATTTTTTTTTTGTTAATATTGATATAATTTGTTTTTGGTATCATGTGGCCGATGTGGGTTATTAGAGTCATATATGACTCTTATTACTAGAGTCCTAGCAATCCTCGTTTTTCTAGCTTAGCTTAAAAATACGCTCAGTCATAAAAAATGAACAGTTATACATTCGTACGACACACCACACACTCAATAAACAAACAAATATGTGAAACACGTTCTCACTCGGAGACAATAATAAGTCCAAGTATTGGACTGTCCAATAATACATATGAAAATTAAGATCTATAAATGGCATGACAATATCAGTTTACCTATCACAAGATATAATATTTGTAGATCAAAGTCAACAAAAGGAGAGGGAGAGAGAGAGAGTGATAAAAATGAGTCTACCACCACTGGCTTTAGGTATGAAGATAATGTGTCTAAAATCAGCTAAAAACAATAAATTTTTGCGTTATAGATATGAAGATGTCCAAACACATGGCCTTCTTCAGTTTGCTGCTGATCAAGTTACGGATCCATATGCCCAATTTGAGGTCGAGCAATCTACAGATTTTGATGGTCTTGTTCATCTCAAATCTCGGTACAATAATAAATATTTGGTTAGGTATGTACTACGTACTCTTTTCTTCTTTTACACAGTATGGTTCGATATAGAAGAAATATAATGACTATGGACTATTCCCTTTACTATCATTCAAAGAAATTGTCTCTGCTAAAAAGTAAAAACTTGAGTCATTATTATGTTAACTCTAATAATGTTCGTTGCTATCACATTGTACTGTACTTAATTAGATAGTATTACCAATTTACCATGATGTAAAAATAATTCTTCATAATCTACATCTACATCTATTTATACTTAGTATTTAAAAACAAGAGCCACAATCATTCATATACCATATATCCTCACAACTCACTCATATGCCACATATTACTTCTCTTGCCATTTTAATATTAAAAAAATTAAAGTAAATGTATTACATAATGTTAAAGGCTTTATACATTCCGTAACTTGCACATTTAAGTAAGAAAATGAAGTGTTTTACTTCACCATGATAAAATAAAGTAGAATTAAATAATAAAAAGTCTTTTTATCTCTTAAACTTAAAATTTAGCTTAAACTAATATGTCATTTCATATTCCACAATATTCATGTATATATACCTAACTAAATTCCTTCATCTTCTTCCACAATTCCACCCTCACTTTTTTTTCCTTATTAGTTTTCACAACATTCGCCTCAAAGCCATGTAATAATAACTTCGTAGTTTCAACTATTGAAAACCATAAAATAGTCTTTTTATCTCTTAAACTTAAAATATAGCTTAAATTAATATGTCATTTCATATTCCACAATATTCATGTAGCTTAGATATATCTAACTAAATTCCTTCATCTTCTTCCATACTTCCACCCTCACTTTTTTTTTTCCTTAATAAGTTTTTACGGCATTCGACTCAATAGCTATGTAACAATAATTTTGTAGTTTCAACTATTGAAACCATACTTTTGTATAAAAATAATCTAAGTTATAACCCGTGCATTGAACGGGCCAAAATGCTAGTTAGTACAAACAAAAGCAAAATATTTTCTTGATATATTTTAATATGATACCTAAATACTTTGTTATTAATGACTCAATAATGAAGTAATGTTTTTGGATGGAACATTTTTTATGATGAGTGCAGCCTAAACTCAATCAAATTAAGTTGCATGATTAATTATTCAATCTCTATGTTAGAACTTAGAAGTATGTATTTATTCATTGTTTTAGGTGGTCTCCCAATCACTAATGGATTACTGCCTTAGCCGACAAATTAGATGAAGATCAAACCAATTGGACTTGTACATTGTTCAAGCCAATCTATTTCATCAACAATGATTCCCAAAAAATGCGACTTTTACATCTCCAACTTGGTCATTTTGCATGCTTGTGGAGGCTCAATGCACCTTTCGATTCATGCTTATTTGCAGGGTCAAATAAAATTGATAAAGACTCTTATGATGTTTTCACTTTCATAAACTGGGAATCGTTGTTTAATTTTCCTAAGCATGTTGCATTTAAGGGGGACAATGGTAAATATTTAGGTGCATTCGAACAAAAAGGGATTCAATATCTATCATTTTCGTATGACGATCTTGAAGATCCTAAGGTCTCCCACGAGTTGTTCAAAACTCATGATGGTACACTTTGCATAAAATCGAATCACCTTGGCAAGTTTTGGAGGCTTGGTGACCGTGATTGGATCGTCGTCGATGCAGATGATCCTCGCAACACTACTAACACTGCTGCAATGTTTAGGGCTGTTGTGCGTGACGTTAACGTCGTTGCACTACTAAACATGTACAAAACTTGGTTTTGTAAGAGATTCACTACTGGCAAGGAAAACTTCTTGAATGCTGCTACTCAAAATATAGACGAATGTGCAATACTGATGATAATTGACTTGGGAGGGGATCTATCGTCCAATACATGCACGAAGTAATATGGTTATTATATTTATGTACTCTTTATCATCTCTTCAATAAATGGTCATGTACAATTTAAGTTTTCAATTTCAATAATAAATGGTTACAAGATGGACTATGTCGTGTGTATCATTTTTTGGAGGTGGTGATACATGTTTAGGGACAAGAGAATTACACTCAGTATCGATTGTAATAAGTGATGTGTCTAATTTATACGATGATTTCACCCCTGTTTCGTGATCTTATTATTTGAGCTTATTTGTTTCCTTTAGAGCCATTTTAACCACTAATATATATGTTCTGCACTTCTACTATGTGTTAATGTGTTATTGTAGTGTTAATCGTATTTTATAGGAACTAGCCTTCTGGCCCGTGCAATGCACGGTTTATTTATAGGTAATTAGGTATACTATATAAATAATTATTTTTTAACATATTTATATTGGCAAATGAATAGTTTATAAAGGAGAAGAAGAGGTAAAAATTGAATGCAATTGTAGTAGAAATTAAACCGGAGGAAAGTGAACCAAACAACATTCAATAATTTATACATGTATTGAATTAGAGTTTTTTTTTCATATGAGAAAAGAGATTAAAAAAAGAAAGATTAAATGAAGTGACATGTGACATTGGAGAAAAAAAAAATGAAATATATATGTGGCACTATAGGGATGATGGTTTTTGTTTTTAATACTAAAACTAAGTATAAATATAGATATAGATATAGATATAGATATAGATATAGATTAGCGTTTTTGAACACGCAGTTTCAATCGTTTTAGATCACCCTGAGGAAAATTAGGACTTTGGATCGCAATTGATCTAGTGCCGTTTCAGACATATTTGGACCTAGTTGGTAGTAGCAGCCCACAAAAAAAGAATGTTGGACTGCCATTTCCAATCCATAATTTCCCATTAGATAAACTATTATATTGGGCTCCATCCCATAAAATGCAGCTCTCTCAAATCCCTCAGTTGCTGCAATTTCAATTTAAATGAATTAATATTTTTATACTTAAATTAGAAAGTTCAAATTTATTAATTTATAACAACAACTTTATTTAATTTTGAAGTATAAAATACAGTAGTACTTATAAATTAGAAAGTTCAATGGTATTCTTTCCTAAATTGGATCACAATAAAGTCCTACACGTCTTTAACAATATTACCAAAATTTGGAGCATATTGTTATTACTTTGGGGCCGAGATTTGGCGATTGGTAGTGGCGTCTTGTTACCTTGTCATTTGCTTTTAGAGGGCTTGGTATTTATTCTGTGAGTGATATTAGGCATTATGCTTTTCTCGCTTCTTATTTGCAGTCGGCTAGCTTGCAAACTCAACTTCTACGGCGTGCTAGTATAGTTGGTGTTGGTCGTGCCTTTGATGAGGCGGAGGTCCATTTAATAAAACTGTAGAGTATGAAATTTTTAGAAATCCTAGTGAGATCGCTGCCCAAAAACTTATGAAGAAATTGACGGAAAAGGTTACTGCTTCTGCTATATCCACGTTTTTATCTCCATGTCAGTCGGCTTTTTAGAAGTCTCATCAAGGAGAACACACCTCGACTTGGCTTCGTATGGACGTGTGGTCCCTATTTCTGGTCTGGATTAGATGATGAACGCTAAGACTTATCATTATTTCATATGAGAAAAAGCTAAAACAAATACAACGAGTTATTTCAATGGTTATCATTATTTTGATGATGTATTATGGTTATCATTATTTTGATGATGTATTGGATGTGGCATATGATGTGTGTTGTTACAATAAGGGGTGTTCAATCAAAAGAAAGGAAAAGAAACAAAAAAAATTGTTGCGAATGTTAGTATTAAGAGGGCTTTATAGGGAGAGTGATGTGAAATGCAAGAGTGAGCTTCGTGTTAATAGTAGAATTTTCAATATTATCTGTGAGATGCTTAGAGACATTGGGGGTTTGAGTGAAATAAAAAACATGGCGCTTCAAGAGATAGTAGCCTTTTAATACACGTTGGCTCACCATAAGAAGAATAGGTCTGTTGGACAATACTTCTTTAGAAGTGGAGAAACCGTGAGTTGACAATTTCAAGTCTAAGGGCTTTTCTCAAGTTGCATGAAGTAGTCCTTTACAATCCCATACCAATATCGGATGATTGTGAAGATGAAAGGTGGAAATCTTTCAAGGTATTGGTTTTTTCTAAGCTCCTAAATTTTGCCAGGATTTTTTTTTTCCCTTCTTGTTTATAAGTACTCGTAATATTTTTTCCTATGTCAATGACTACACGGAATAATCATATTTGGTTAATGTTAGCCGACCCCCCTTTTGAGATTAAGGCTTTGATTGATTGATTTTTGTAGAATTGTTTAGGGGCATTAGATGGGATTTACATTAATGTAAATGTGCTTGCACAAGAACGACCAAAGTATGGAACAAGAAAAGGAACAATTGCTATGAATGTATTGGGTCCCAATATGCATTCGGTCCATGATATGCGTGTACTTCGCAATGTTCTCTCTAGACCAAACGGTTTTAGGGTACCTCCAGGTAAGTGAAGCTCATTTTTTTTTAAGTATATAAGTTTTGTTAGTTTTGGTAGGTAGTAATCATTTTCTCTAATAACTTTTAAGGTAACTATTATTTGGTTGATGCGGAATATACGAATTGTGAGGGCTTTCTTGCTCCATATAGAGGCCGAAGATACCATTTAAAGGAATGGACGGATCGACAACTTGAAAGTGTCGAGGAGATTTATGCTAGGGCGTGAAATGTGATTGAGAGATGTTTTGGCCTACTTAAGAAGATGGAGTATTCTTAGAACTCATGGACGTATCGTGATGGCTTGTTGCTTATTGCATAATCTAATTAGAAAATTCATGCCTAAGGATGATATAAACGAAGATGAATTGGATGAATCCGATGATGATTCCGAAAGTGATTCCGATGATGAAAGGGAATTTATTACAAGTATTGCTACTTTGGATCATTGGACCAATTTTAGAAACGAATTAGCCCAAGATATGTTTAAGGATTGCAGGGCGAGAGGTAGACATGGTCAATAACCCAAAATTTATGTTTTTTTTTTTTTCTTTTTTTTTTCTTTCATTCTTTGATTACATTATGTATATATATAGGTGTATTTGCAAGTTTATGTGATGAATCGTCTAATGAATGGGATTGGTTGGACTGTATATATTTCCTGTTTTTGTTCATTTTGAAGCCACTGCCACTTTAAATTTGCCTCTACTTTGCACAGTACTAAATCTTCTAATCTGCTTTTTGTTCTGTTCGTTTCTAATCTGCTTTTTGTTCTGTTCGTTTCTAATCTGCCTTCTGTTCTGTTCGTTTCTAATCTGCCTTCTGTTCTGTTCATTTCTAATCTGCCTTATGTTATGTTCATTTCTAATTTGCCTTGTGTTATGTTCATTTCTAATTTGCCTTGTGTTATGTTCATTTCTAATCTACCTTCTAATCTGCAATTTGTTTAGGATGGAGGCTAGCAATCGAGGAAGAGGTAAAAATAGAAGGGATTGGACATATGAAGAAGATGCAGTTCTAATAAGATATTTGCATGAGTTGAGTTGTGATCCGAAGTGGAAGTGCAAGAATGGGTTTAAGAATGGTTACATGAATAGATTAGAAGAGATGATCAATAGCGTACTTCCTAATTGTGGCTTGAAAGCGGTTCCCCACATTAAGTCAAGGATCAAGCATTGGTCAGAGAAATATAGTGCATTATCCACATCAGGATTTGGATGGGATGCTGAAAAGAACATGTTGCAAGTAGATAAGGCCATGTTCGATGAATGGGTGAAGGTATGAACTGCTCTTTCACACCTCTTTGTTTCTGCTCTCAGAATAATGTCTACTGGTGATGTGCTGCTTGGTCTGTAGGACTGTACTACACTATTTGTGACTGTTTGATAGCATAGTTGTAATCTTTGGTTTATTGGATTGTTAATTTATCATAGGGACAATTTACATACTAATAGACTTCTCAGATGATAACTTGGCTTCTCTGTTCAGATAGCAGTTGAAATATGCAGTGTTTTATTTCAAAAATCCTGGTTTAGTGCAAGGAAGAAAGAGGAGTGACTTTAATTGCAGGCATAGGCTAACAGATTTTTGTACAAAACAGTACGATTAAGGGTTATTATTCTTGTACAAAACAGAACTTGAACAAAAATATATGGTGCTGAACAGATTTTATATAAGCCTTGCAGCCTGTTATAAAGCCTATTTTTTTTTTTCAAAAAAAAGACCTAACAATTACCTGTACAAATCTGAGTTTAGCCAACTTAAAATTGACCTGTATTATACTTTTTTTTTTCTTTTTTTGGTGTCATTTTTGTTTCTGGAATAAACCAATCTTAAGCTGAATTTATATTTATGATGCTGTTTCTTCTAAATATTTGGCTTCTAGCTTGTCAAAAAATAAAATAAAATATTTGGTTTCTCTAGATATATCTTTATATGCTGGGCAGTTGAATCTTGATGCAGTAGTTCAACATTATCATAGAAAAATACTATTAATATTGTAAGATTGTATAAATGGCATGCCTAAATTGTCTACACCTCGCAGTTCAGGTAGGTGAGCAACTGTGCAGGTGCTGAGCAAGGATAGTTTACTTTTATTTTATTATTGAATATCTGAATATTTAGTTTGAATCATACAGCAGAGAGATAGATTATTCGGAATCTAAACTCTTAACTCTGAACAAAGAGTTTAGTTTATAAACTAGTGTATGCATAAAATATATTAATCTAGTTGTATTATCTCTTATATGGCAGACTCATAAGAAAGCTAAGGGGTTGTTTGGAGTTCCATTCATTCACTATGAAACTCTTGCGGAGATATACGCAAAAGACAAAGCTACCGGAGATGCAAGTGAGTCGTTCGTTGATGCTATAGAAGATATTGATCAAGAGATTGATAAGCAACCATTGAATGTCGAGAGTGATGAAGAAGAAGATGTGAATTCTGCTCATTCGGACACTTATTCTCCTACAAGTCAATCTGGAAAACATTCCATGAAGATAGAGGATGATCATTCAACTCCTTCAAAAATGGCAAATGTGAAGGCTTCTACAATTCGTTCTTCCGCAAGTGATTCGACTACTCAATCCGGAGAACACTTTGTAAAGGCGAAGGAGGCTAAGGAAAAAGGCAAGAACATGGTAAATTTGAAGAGTTTGTGTAGGAATGATGATGATGATTTGGTTGCCTCCCTCCATGATGTTTTCAACAATTTTGGGAAGATATTTGAAAATATCGATGTTAATCTCAAGACTATGGCTAGTGCATGGTCTAAAGCGGAAGAAAGGGAGCAAAGGATGGATGAAAAGCTGAACAAGGTTTTGGACGAGGTGATGAAGTTGGATGATATTTCTCCATCCGAAGCTTTAGAGTTGGCTACTATTCTCATGGCGGAACAACATAAGCTTCATGTTGTGCGACAGCGGAAGCAAAGGTCGTAAACAAACAAGAAAACAATAAAGAAATTCAATGCAAACAATAAGAACAACACCAAGAATTTACGTGGTTCACTATCGATGTGATAGCTACGTCCACGGGCACCGAGATCGAATGATTTCACTATAAACTGCAAAGATTACAAAGATGATTCTTGTATTTCTCAAGAACGGCTTTCACTCTGTCTCTCTTCACCCTAATACTGATATTAGGGAGGTTTTATATTAATCCCTAATTAAAAGATACTTGGGCAAAAAGATAATAAAATAAGATAACCTAAAACCGCAAAATCCGCGTTCCGTATTTTTCCTTCTCCGCCCGGTCAGACCGGGCAAGGTCTGCCCGATCGGGCGCGAGAAGAAGACTCCATACGAATGCTTCAACGTATCCAACCCCCACCGCCCGGTCAGACCGGGCAAGGTCTGCCCGATCGGGCGAAGGCTCGCCCGGTCGGGCGAAGGCTTGCCCGGTCGGGCGCGAGAGCAGCTTCTTCAACGAATTTGCCAGGCACCTCTTCTTCTTCCGCCCGGTCAGACCGGGCAATGTCCGCCCGATCGGGCGGACAAAGCTACGAAGTACGAGTCACCTAATATACTTATCAACAATCTCCACCTTGACGAGAACTCGTAGTCAGCAAACGACCCCATCAAGACATAGTGAAAAAACATCTCAAGCCAAACCCGATGCAGGACTCATGCATAAGCCATACATCCCGATAAGTCTTCAACCAAGACCCATCACATACTCGTCTCCAAGTATAACAACTCATAATGCTCCACCTGCATCACAAGCCCCGGGCAAGCTCCACCTTAATGCCAACACACCTACACCAGGAGCTCCCCAACTTCGCCCCTCAGGGCCTACTACATCACGTAGTAATCAATATTTAGCAAGTCTAAGCAATGTTTAAACTTGCTAAACGGAACAGGCTTAGTGAAGAAATCAGCCGGGTTGTCAGCAGTCCCAATCTTCTTCACCTTAATCCTCTTGTCAGTACGTAAGAAATGATACCTGACATCAATGTGCTTCGTCCGATCATGGTGTACTTGATCTTTAGCTAAGCAAATCGCACTTAGACTATCACAATACACTGTAGCAAAATCCTGTGCAATACCCAGTTCACCTACTAGGCCTTTGAGCCAAATAGACTCCTTAGCTGCAGAAGTTAGAGCCATATACTCAGCTTCAGTAGTTGACAACGTAACTGATGACTGCAATGTAGACTTCCAACTAACCACAGAACCACCCAAAGTGAACACATAACCAGTCACAGACCTCCTGGTATCCACATCAGCTGCATAATCAGAATCACTGTACCCAGTGACCAAGCATTCCCTACCATTCCCGTACACAAGACCAATATCAGTTGTCCCTCTCAGGTAGCGAAAAATCCTTTTCACCCCTTGCCAGTGTTCCCTCCCAGGTCGAGCCATAAACCTGCTTACAACACTAACAGCATGCGCAATATCCGGCCTAGTACAGACCATAGCATACATCAAACAACCAACCGCGTTTGCATATGGAACTCTAGACATATAAGACAACTCCTCCTCTGATTGAGGTGACATAGACAAAGACAACTTACAACTAACAGTAGTTGGCGTACTTATAGGCTTCGATTTTTCCATCCCAAAACGAGACAAAATCTTTTCAATGTAGCTTTTCTGAGTCAAGAAAAGCTTACCTCTAGCCCGATCCCTGTAGATCTCCATACCCAAAATCTTCCTAGCTGCACCCAAGTCTTTCATGTCAAACTCCGAGTTAAGCATCTCCTTTAATCTAGCAATATCAGATTTATTCTTTGTGGCAACCAACATGTCATCAACATATAACAAAAGATAAATCATGGAACCATTATCCAGCTTACTATGATACACACAGCAATCATATGAATTCCTGTCAAAACCTTGTGAAACCATAAAAGAATCAAACCTTTTGTACCACTGTCGGGGGGATTGCTTAAGTCCATACAATGACTTTAGCAATCTGCAGGCATAGTGTTCCTTTCCAGGAGCTTCGAATCCTTCGGGCTGCTTCATCAGAATCTCCTCCTCCAAATCGCCATGAAGGAAGGCCGTTTTAACATCCAACTGCTCCAGCTCAAGATCAAAATGTGCTACAATTGACAATAACACACGGATAGAAGTATGTCGAACCACAGGTGAGAATATCTCAACAAAGTCAACCCCTTCTACCTGACTGAACCCCTTAGCAACTAGCCTAGCCTTAAAACGTATTTGCTCAGTTTCCGACAACCCTTTTTTCTTCTTGTAAATCCATTTACAACCCACAAGCTTCCTCCCTTCCGGTACCTTTACCAGTTCCCACACTCTGTTCTTGTAAAGGGACTGCATCTCTTCACCCATTGCGGCAAGCCATTGCGCAGACTCAGTACAACTAATTGCTTGTTTATATGTGGCAGGTTCAAATGACTCTACATCATCAGCTACACTCAATGCATAACCTGTCATCGCATCAACACAGCAATTTCTTCCCTCCATCTCTTCAATCAATCTAACAGGCTTCTTGATAACTCGTTTAGGCATCTCAAGAATGGTGTCAGGTTGACTAGATGACCCCTGATTAGATTGCTCCACCTCATCCCCAGAGTTAGAATGAGTAGGAGTAATCTCAGGTTCAGGAGTACCCGGCACTGGAACATCAGCATCATCATCAATATATTGTACCCGAGGTAAATCAGCAATGGTAGACTGATGTACCTCAAGTACCCCATCTGTCTGTAATAAATTGTCTCCTTCCCTTCTCAAATCTGAAATCTCTGCATTTTTAATTGAATACATGGTGTTTTCATCGAAAGTAACATCCCTACTAAGAATGACCCGACCCTCCGAAGGTGAAAAAATTCTAAACCCCTTCACACCATCCCCGTACCCAACAAAACACCCCTTCTTGGCTCGTGGATCCAGCTTACCCTCAATAACATGATAATAAGCAACACAACCAAAAATCTTCAAATTCGAAAAATTAGGCAACTTACCACTCCAGATCTCAAACGGAATCTTGGAATCAATTCCAGAATGAGGACCCCTATTAATGACATAACAAGCTGTTAACACAGCTTCACTCCAGTACCTCCTCCCAAGCCCTGCATTGGAGAGCATGCATCGGACTCTCTCTAGCAGTGTCTGATTAACCCGTTCTGCTACACCGTTCTGCTGTGGTGTCTTCCTGACAGTATGATGCCGACCTATACCCTCATCTGCACAGAACTGATTAAACTCGTCTTTGCAAAACTCTAGCCCATTGTCCGTTCGTAGCTTCTTGATCTTCCTTCCTTGTCGATTTTCCACCAAAGCTTTCCATTGCTTGAAAACTTTGAAGGCCTCATCCTTTGACTTAAGCAACCTAAGCCATGTGTATCGGGACTTGTCATCAACAAATGACACAAAATAGTGGTAACCTCCCATACCTTCAACTCTAGATGGACCCCAGCAATCTGAATGGATGTAATCGAGCACTGCATCAGTAATGTGAGCACCCTTGCTGAACTTTGACCTGTGTTTCTTACCAAACACACAATGCTCACAAAATTCAAGGTTGGCAACCTTGACCCCGGATAGAAGACCCCTCTTGGACAATAGCTGCATCCCCTTCTCCCCCATATGACCAAGCCTCATGTGCCAAATCTTAGTCATCTCCTGGTGAGATACAGATGCGCAAACCGCAGAACTAGGCAGTGTAACACCCTCAAAAACATAGAGGGTGTTCCTTTTGATACCCTTAAGTACCAACTCAGAACCTCTGAAAATACACAACTCCCCATCTGAAAACACACCATTGTACCCCAATTCATCCAGGGTACCCAATGAAATCAGATTCTTTCCTAAAGCAGGAACATGCCGTACATTAGTCAAAGTTAACCTCCGCCCATCAACAGTCCTCAACCTCATGGAACCAATACCTGTGACCTTACATGGAGCATTGTTACCGACTATAACCATACCCCCATTGCGAGGTTCATATGTATCAAACCAATCTCGACGTGGACACATATGGAACGAACACCCCGAATCTAGAACCCAGTTATCAGATAAATCATCAGACCTAGCAGAACTGACTAATGCTAAATCTTCCTCTGAATTATAGCTCTCATTCGGTTTCTCTTCAACTACAGCAGCCTGGGACTTGTTTTTCCTCACCGGACAATTATTCCTAAAGTGACCCGGTTCTTTACAGTAATAACATGTTTTAGTAGTAGTTTTACTAGATCCATCCTTGCCGTTTCCAGCACCCGACCCAGCATTGTTCCCCTTGTTAAACCCCTTATTCTTTTTAGACTTTCCGGACTTAACAAATAACCCACTACCATTATCCCCATTATCACTCGTAGCTTTCATTCTGAGTTCCCTAGTATGAAGTGCTGCCTTCACTTCTTCTAAGGTTATAGAATCCTTACCAACAACAAAAGACTCTACAAAATTCTCAAAGCTAGACGGTAGAGATACAAGTAAAATCAACGCAGCATCCTCATCATCAATTTTAACATCTAAATTACGTAAATCAAGCAAAATAGAGTTAAGTTTTTCTAGATGTTCCCGTAAGGAAGTACCTGACTGCATCCGGAGGCTAAACAACCGCTGTTTCAGTAATAATTTGTTGGTCAACGACTTAGTCATATACAATGACTCCAGCTTCAGCCACAATCCAGCCGCCGTTTCCTGATCAGCAACCTCCGTGATGATTTGATCATCAAGACTAAGTAATATGGTAGAGTGTGCCTTCTCTTCCATAACTTCTAACTGCGAGTCAGTCGGTCCGTCTCCTGACTCCGAAGTAGTACTCTTTGGAGCCAACGGACGCCATATCTGCTGTTGTTTTAACAGAGCCTTCATCTTAATTTGCCATAGCCCGAAACTATTTTTCCCGGTAAACTTCTCAATTCTTATTGTTGAATCTCCTGCCATTGTTATCTTCAAGAAACTCTCCAAGGATTGAACCTGAGCTCTGATACCAATTGTTGTGCGACAGCGGAAGCAAAGGTCGTAAACAAACAAGAAAACAATAAAGAAATTCAATGCAAACAATAAGAACAACACCAAGAATTTACGTGGTTCACTATCGATGTGATAGCTACGTCCACGGGCACCGAGATCGAATGATTTCACTATAAACTGCAAAGATTACAAAGATGATTCTTGTATTTCTCAAGAACGGCTTTCACTCTGTCTCTCTTCACCCTAATACTGATATTAGGGAGGTTTTATATTAATCCCTAATTAAAAGATACTTGGGCAAAAAGATAATAAAATAAGATAACCTAAAACCGCAAAATCCGCGTTCCGTATTTTTCCTTCTCCGCCCGGTCAGACCGGGCAAGGTCTGCCCGATCGGGCGCGAGAAGAAGACTCCATACGAATGCTTCAACGTATCCAACCCCCACCGCCCGGTCAGACCGGGCAAGGTCTGCCCGATCGGGCGAAGGCTCGCCCGGTCGGGCGAAGGCTCGCCCGGTCGGGCGCGAGAGCAGCTTCTTCAACGAATTTGCCAGGCACCTCTTCTTCTTCCGCCCGGTCAGACCGGGCAATGTCCGCCCGATCGGGCGGACAAAGCTACGAAGTACGAGTCACCTAATATACTTATCAACACTTCACATCTTCTATCAAGCTCCATTTAATATGAAAAAAACAATATGCAATTGATCTCCTTAAGAAGAAGTAGCATTTGGTTGCATGCTGTTATGTGAGGAAGCTCTTTGAGAAAATGTAGAGAAGTGGAGGTTTTGGTAATAAAGCAAAAAAACTCATAGCTTAAGTAGAGCTGAATTGGTAGTAGTTGAAACTCAAATTTCATTGGTCTTTACAGCTTTTTTATGTTTATGAAGTTTTGATGTATAAATTTGTTTTCCTAGAGGATTATTCATTTGATGATAATATGATTATGAATGACATATTAGTCAATGTTCCGAAATTTAAAATGAGTGCCAAACAAAATGGTGATAATTGTTTTTGTTTTCTTTGTTGTACCAAACAACTAGTAAGGGTAACACTATTTGTTACCTTTTCCCTCCAAATTTATTTCCATTTCGCTTCCTATACTAATCCCATACTAAACACATCCTTATTTATTTTTGGTTAGCATTGAAGGTTGTTTGATAATTCTGTAATCACGAAATAAGAAGGGGTTCATCTGTATTCTGTAATGTTCTTGAAATAATGTTACTATATATTGAAATTTGTACTTACCGAATTGTAAGGCCTTGTCGATTCTTTAGACTGTTAGGGATACCACCCTTAAATTTGTTGTTTTGAAGATATCTGCCATCAAATTTAATAAGCAAATTATATTAGAGGTGGCTTAAATACAAAATTATATTACCGAAATTGCAAAATTTATTTAGAAAATTTAGAGGTGATTTTTGTTATAAGATTAATAATGACATACATCTCACGTGGAAGTTTGGCTAATGATTCAGGAATTGATCCTTCAAATTGATTATTGTCCAAATGCCTGTATCAATTATTTTGCATGTTTAATCTTATACATTAATGCAAAACTATTGATAGAATATATCCAAAAAAAAAAAAAAAAATGGTTAATTGATTTAATTTGTAATTTCAATATGCAATTATGCACGCATTTGATTAAGCAAGCTTACAAGGTTTCTAGCATCTTCATGGAGCTCATATTCGGCAATGTACCTGAGAGTTTGTTATGCCCAAGCCAACTATAATAACCCAAAAAAAAAAAAAGAAGTTATTTAGTAATGTCATAGTCAACTACTCTTCATAGTTCTAAAAATTCTACAGTGGTCGTTTGAAATATGACTACCATAATATTTTAATGATTATATAGTTCATAATTAACGTATTTTTATCCAATAATTATATATATTAATCTATTTTTGCTATAAAATATTATTATCAACAGTTTTTTTATTTATCAAATTTTTAGTTTTATTTATGTAATTTTTACACTTATTTTATAGTTTCTTGAAAAATATTTATTTTATGTTGGATTAAAATTTCCAAACATTATATTTGCATTGTAAAAATTAGAATACTAATTGTGTCCAATTTATAGTGTGAAAAAATAGATCGTTCATATTGTTTATCATTAAAATAATAAGGTAGTCATATTTCAAACGACCACTGTAAAAACATCCTCATAGTTCATATTATGAGAATTGAAAGAGGTAATGTAGGTTAGACATATCCAAGGGAGGTAACAAATTAAATTAAGTGCATTCCTCATCAAATAAAAGTGTACTCCTTAAGAGCGTGCAGTACATATATACGTAGTGTAAACGTGAGTCATACCCGCTCCTATAATGACGTGGTGATATGACAGTGGTGTTACACAACAGCTAACTTTACACCACTAGGAAGAGAGAGTGCATCTTTTGGGAGACTTGCTTATATGTGTTGTTTGGAAAAACTATATCTTAATATTTTTAAAATAGAATCACAAAATAGTAGAGTTGTCTATCTAAAATGCACGTACATTTTTTGCTCTAAAAAATGCACGTACATTTTTTGCTCTAAAAAATGCACACACAATATCTAGTGTCTACCAAAGAAATGTGTACCATGCCTCGATTCGGAGTACGTGCACGTAAATGGGCTAGGCAAATTTGGTTAACAACTTACAGATGGGCAACTGCAGTTAGATCTTTTATGCTTGTTGATAAAGATCCAGAGAGCCCCAAACCTGTCAAATTCCTATAACACCAAGAAAAAGAAAAGGAAAATTCTTTCTTGTAATAAACTCTTCACATAAGTTGTATACATATTACACAACTTATGCAAAGAATATGGTACAAGATAGAACTTTCCTGATCAAAGTTAGAAAAGAAAAATGATACAAATTTTTTCAACATAAGTGAGTAAAAACTATATGTTGTATTGAGTACATCTAATTTTTATCCCGATACATTCACATTTAGTGTATGTTCATCTTCACATGCATCCTCAATTTTAAGTAATTTCGTTATTTATATTATTCGATCTCTTTGTGTATAAAAAATGTTAAGTAAATACTATTATGACAAAAGTTGAAAATTCTATAATAGTCGTTTGAAATATAACTACCATAATATTTAGTAATTATGTAGTATAAATATTTGATTGATTATTGTAAATTAACTTGTATTGAACTAATTAAGGTTTATAATTATATTGGACTAGATTAACTTCAGCTAAACTGAAACACTAAATGTGAAGGTACCGGGATGAAAATTACTGTAATTCTTCTTATAAGAATTGAACTGACATAGCTTCAACTCGAGCAATGCCGTTTGATTGGGAACATGTAACTCCACTCCATGAATTTTTTCGAGGTAAGCAAGGATCCCCGTTCCAATCACCGGGTGGATTGTTCAAACTTCGATCCAAATCCGTCATTGCAATCACTGTCAAATTTTACAGTTACGTTAAAATCATTGGATTTAGGTTCTGTTCTCTTCATCTTATTCTTATCACGACTTTTTAGTTATTCTTGTTAAAATCAGACTAGTAAAAAGAATAGCAACTAAGCAAGAAAATTTGGTACCATAATATTACCATCCTTGTCACTAGTCCTCCCACCAAGGGGAAGTAGCTGAAACATCTCGGCAGCGTTCAAGAGAGGTCCAACGGGACCGCCATCCTCCGGGATCATCGTGATCTGAGTTTGACCCGATAGAGGCCATTCAGGTGTATAGACGTTCACCCCACTAGTTGTTACGTTGATCTTGTTATAAAACGCGTCGCCATTGATCAAAATGTTAAATACTCTCCAACTGTATGGGCTAGGAGTTCGGTTGTCCTGGAAGTAGAGAGAAATGTGGTAGTTGCTATCGGACAATGGCGTTGGCGGCCACTTGATTTCTAGGGTTTTGCCTCGGCTTGTTGTTATTGCTGAGCTTAATGCCTGGCTTGGTGGCATGTTCCAAAAATCTGATGGTGTTATGTTAGATTAACATTTCACTGTTGGATTTGTATCTTTGAATTGTTGCCACATTCGGTTATACTCGTCATCTGGATAACTAGTCTCCAAATAATCAATCAAATACGTACTAAAAATTTAAAATGGTAGTCATATTTCAAATGACTACTATAGAGTTTTTTAGTTACCACCGTTAAATTTCAGTTTTTTGGTTCGGGATTGCATCTTTAGCTAGAATCTTAAAACTCGCAATTATAAAGAATTTGAATGAGACCGTTTTTTATAAGATTGATTAAGTACCTGATAAAATTGGCTTCACCATTATCTTTGTTATCCTTACCAAAGGTATGACGAGCAACCGTGCTAAGTGCATACTTGTGGAAATCAACAGACTTATAAAGAATGTCATCTAGGAACATGACTTCTATGGCAGATATATAGGGGCTAGAAGCACCTTTAGTGTACTCGTTACGAGCGAGGCAAACCGAAAGGACCTTGCCATGGGCAGCAACTACAAGCTCATAATAAGAAGCAAGACCCTTGCTATACTCATCTGTGGTATTAACGACGCTCCATCTAGTTCCGTCGATGATTTGATCGAACACGGGTGGATCTTGTTTTCCATCGAAATTTCCATAGAAGTAAGTGGTCCTAACAAGGTACTTGGCTCCTTGAATCACTTGGAAGGTGTAACAAAATTTGCGAGCTGATTTGTCTGGGAAGAACCTTAGATTTGACAATATAGGAAATAGTTGATTTGTATTGTTTTTCACAGTTGCATTTCCGACGGAGGTAAAACTTAGGTCCGGTATGTATTTTAAACCACTAATGTTTATGCTCTCCGTAGATCCACAACTTACCAAGAATCCTGAAATAAAAGTTATATTAAAGTCACGAATTATGCTATATGCCAAAATGTACCTATGTTAAGATCAATCAATTAGTGGGGTGCGTTATCTCACACACCCTTCCAATTGCATGCAAGATACACACGCATTATCTAGGTGTACCATATACGTGGGTGTTGTAACAAAAATATTATCGTCTATCTTACTAATTAATACTCCGTATGAAATAAACAAACTCATGATTTGATGTATAGAAAAGGTTATTAAATATTACCTCTAGGAGCAGGAATATCATCTGCATGGATTAATGATAATGGGATGCTTGCTATCCATAGGATGAAGATGGAGATTGACATAACTACTTTTCTTGTAACAAACAATTTCTTCAAAGGAGGAGGAGGAGAAAGTGGGAGAAATATAGGCCTAAAATAAGGGAGTCAATGGTGGACATGCAATGGTTTTGGTGAAAGGAGTGACACGTATGAAATCATTGATTATTGATTGTCATTTTATTTTAGGAAGATAGTCTCATTAAACATTTGAATTTGTTACAAATTAAAAAAAAAAAATCGTAAAGGTAAAAGTCAATTGTAATGCGTTTCCTCGAAAAAAAAAATTGTAAATTGTAATGCGGAGAAAATAAAAATTAGAATTAAATAAAAGTATGAGATTGTGAATTAAGAACTGGATAAGGAGGTTCGAATCCTCAACCTCTAATAAGACATATGACTATTTAACCATCTAACCAATATCAACTATATTGTTTGTATGAAAAAAAATTAATATAACTAAAACCACAAGGTTTAATTTAAAAAAAAAAAAAAACTACATGAATAACTCAATTTTAGTTTGACAATGACAATTGCAGTTTTAAAGTTTATTTAAAAAAATTACCAATTGTACATCTACAACAATAACAGCCCAAGGCAACGCCCGGGATCACTCACTAGTTCCGTATTAAAAATCGATTCCTGAACCGATTTTTAACAAATAAAACAACCAAATACTAAATCCTAAAACCTAGAAAATCCTTAATTTTTCGAAATTAACACTTTGTGGAAAGTTCAAAGTTGAATGATGTTGCACCTAGTCCCCCACTCTTGTTGAAATCATAACA